CTCTACTTTCTGCGTCTTTAAATTTTACATCAGTAATAGAAATGACGTTTAGTTCCAGGGTATTGTCGTTTTTTGCTTCCTCATCTGAATGAGAGGGCTCTGGAGTCATGCGCAGTTTTAACACTTGGATTCAATAGCCAGCAAGTTATCAAGCACTCAATTAAAACCATTTCCAGTGGTCAATAAGGGAAGCTATACTTGAAGCATTCTTAAATTTACTATACCCAGGATAGGTGATGAGGGACTCCCAATTAAAGGGTGAAACATTTTCGTGTCTAATCAGCACAGTACAGAACACAAGAACGGAAAGTTAGTAACCAGTGATACTAAAAATGAAACTTCGATAGGCATAATTAGTGACTTCAACTTCCCAAGCGAAATGATGGACTTAATACTGTCAGTTTCAACAATAAAATAGTAAAGAGCACCACTGGATAAATATAATCGTTTTCGAATACGAAGTTGAAAATAAAAATAATATATAGTCATTAGAATCACCCAAGTTAATAAGAGCTGTATTACAAAGTTTAGCATTACTTGAAGCGAAATACACAGTAGTTTTACAAACCGACTTGATGTGTTCGATATCACAACACATTAAGCATTTAGCATGATGAAATACACATGAATTACGTGTGTGAAATTTACCACAGGACAAATATTCACCAAGCTTGTGCTCACCCTTGTCACCTGCTTTGAAAATCCTCACTGAAATGTCAACCATATTTCCGCGAGAACGAGTGTTATGGTCAATTAAACGCCTATCTGTATGGCCTTGAGTACACGTCGAATTCGGATAACTAAGCACTTTATTGGAATTCTTGATGTCCTAGAAGTCAATTCCATGCACTGCCTCATAATTAATACACGCAGTTCTAGCATCTTGAAAAGAACACTTCGACATTTGTATGAACGCTTTTTCCAGATGTGATATGTTAATCTGTGAAATCAATTGATCACGCAGCTGATATATCCATTTTCTAGTTGCGTAACAGATATTTTTATCCATTATGAGCTCTTCAGTAACGAAATATTACCAGTTTTTACATAATTAGTCACAAAAGGCAACGTATCTAGCACTGCACTCCTAGTTCCACTCAAAGCATATTGATTAGTTTTATGGGACGGGTTTGCACACATATCAATTATTCACATCAAAGTAATTTAGCTGAACTATGAATTTCGTCGATTATTTTACTACTATTTAATTTGTGATTAATACTTTCACAAGCGAAAATGTATTTACTACGGTTTGATATCGTCCTTATCATCATTAACACTTTTCCTAGTCATACTCCAGATTTCAAACCTTTCCATGTCATTTTTGAAAACATCAGAATTTGAATAAATATCCAACTGTTCAAACACAGGCTATATTGCGACGCCCATGTGATAATTAGAAGTATTCGGATCATGCGCTATATAAGAATTCCCGAAATAGTGCAATACAGGGCAAGTAGAATTTTAAGAGCACAAACGAACGTATTATACTTATAGTTCATGACGAGCGCGCAATCAAATACAAAGGAATCATCAGTTAGTACAAATACCACAATCCATCTTCTTTATTGTTCAAATTTCATTTCATCGTTTTAGTACATTGGATTACTTAATATCTCGTTCACTTCTCATCCTCCATGGAGTATGAACTGTATTTTCCAGTACAGTTAATGTCGTTCTGATATGTTAAATCGTGACAAAAACTGGTCACAACAAACAGGGGGATAAAAAAGTAAGGAATAAAAGAACAAAACTCTAACTCCAAAAGGATAAGGACACTCTGGAGCGTATCCAACGGCAAGCCAGGAAATCAGTTCAGGGACTAAAATTCGGACCTTATGAAGAGCGCCTCCAATCACTTAACCTTTACCCATTAGAGTATAGGCCTCTTAGAGGTGACCTTCTGATGGCTTACGTATCTTTAATACTTCTTGACATCCCCCTAAACATCTAATTAAGCTTAGTCCCAATGCAAACCTAAGGAGTAACACCCAGAAATTGAGATACAACACAACAGAATGGACTGTAGACACAACTTATATTCACCAAGAATTGTAAAATGCTGGAATTCGCTGCCGACTGAACTAGTTCAAGCAACTTCCCAGGGATATTTGTAGGGATCCGAAGATTTTCATCATTTTAATTGTTCGTTGAACACTTCATCATAAGAAGGATTAATCCCGAGTCCAGTTTTATAAAAGGATGTGTAATACAATGGATCACCGATTTATTTTTTGAAAGCCAAGAGTGAACAATCATCTTAGAAGATTTCTGGCTTTAATCCGTCAGTACCTCCTACTATCCTTTGCCTAAAATTAGCAATGGCTTTTTCTACTTCATTAAGAGGGTGAGAGGTTTACGTCAACACCACATTCAGATTTCTTGGTAAAAGTAAATAACTAAAGAGTGGCTAGATAGCAGTCAAATAGTTCTTCCCATCATTTTAGTATCCCGCGTTGAGAGTGGATCATTTATGCATATTTTTCTGAAATACTCGCTAACTACCGAACCTTACCTTGACTAGTCTGAAGAGTTCCAAGCAAATCTATTTGAATACAAATGGTTAAATTTAGCATCTAGCAAACTCAATAATTAAGTATATAGTGTGTATTTATCGCTGAGAAAAACCAAACACAGTAATTTCCACCTTACATTTGAGTTGTTAGATTCACGTTAACATGAACAAAATTATATCACATAGCTTATTATTTCAAGAACAAACAGTAATATCTCACTGAAAACCCTATTTTTTGTGAATAACAACTTTATATGTGGTCAAAACAACGAAGAGAGCAAATTGATACCGATGTTAATAAAATTACGAAGCTTTTGAAGACGGTTCTCATTACGTGATCCGCATCGGCTAGGTAGACGTCTTTTTTGAAAACCCGATTCGTCGATCCAAGTGTATAACTAAAGTAGACAACGGTTGTCAAACACGCTCTGCCAGGATTGTTTAGTGGCTGGTAGCATTAATCCATTATTACATCGGGGGTACCATCGATGAAACAAAAGTCGGAGATTTTGAAAAGACATCATTCCCCGTTCTCAGTTAGTCAGTATAATTAAGCAGCTCAGTCTGAAAGCACACTAATATAAATTCAATTAATCAGCACTCAGTCAGCTATAACGTAAGACCAGGCAAATATGTGCATCGGTCCAAGTTGCCATACCTCCTTAGTACAACAAGATGAACACCGGATTCATAGAAGTAGTTAGCTCAGTGGTGGTAATATATAGAAGAAAGATTGCGTATAAAGACATAGTACAGGAAGAAAGATATGAAGCGATTTTAAACTCACAGTTTAAAGGAAGACAGTGCACCGACGCCATTGTGAGCGATTCTGAGCCATATGACCCAGAGTCTCCAATCATAAGCACTACCTCCATTATAAGGCGTGATACGCTACCCAAAATAAGCAGCGATATGATAGTCCCATATAAGCCCAAGATGTTAATCATGGTTAACTTAAAACCTAGCACAACTGTTTATTAATTGAGGTTTATAGCCTGATCAATCAACTTACTGTCATACACCTAACCTCATTATCTAATCGTTGTTTCTACTGCATATGAGCAATGCTTTAAAGACGCTTATCCGTACCTTCTGTACTTAAAGGTCGTTAAAAAAGCATACTAATGTGAATCTTTTCGGCTCGACCTGGGGGTAAGGTAGATAGCAAGTGACGTAGCAAGTCATAAGACATCAGCCCAGTTCTTTACTATTCAGGATATATAATGAAATAAAATAGTTATGAGTAGTCAGAGTTTTCATCTTTGAATGAGTAGTTCAACGTCTGTATTATTCATTGGTGGTTAGTGTAATTGAAATCTCTCTTGATAGATATTGATTTCCTTTGTCGTAAGTTATATTTTTTGGGGTGTATATCCACATAATTTTTCTTTTAAAAAGCATCTTGCTCAGCTAACGAAATTCATAAAGTCCTTGATGGTGCTAGTAGGCTCTTCCAGGAGTTTCTTTTTCTCCGTTGCTTTTTCTTTAAAATGAGAAAAACTTCAGCTGATGATCCAAACGTGAATTTGAATTTGTTTTAAGAAAGAGCTCTTTAATCTTTACTACACGAATAAAATAGAAGTAACCGGCTGCTCTCAAAAGATTACTGTGATAAAAATACCATTCACAAATCTCTTTAGTAAGCAAAGCAAACTTACCGAGGAAAATATAGCATTACTAAAGTACACCTTCAAATGGTCGTCAGCTTGTTCATTATAATGCGTCTAAAATGTTCATGACGTTCCAAATATATCCGTACCAACAAATTGCACTTTTTTGCCGTTAAATTACAGTATTTCCAATCCACAGAATGTTCCCATAAATTGCTCCACGAATCTAGTCTGGTTGTAAAAGATGGGCTCCACAAAATCACACTAGTATATATTTCGGATGCCCTCGTTAATATACCGAAACTAGTCGTTAAAAATGTGTTCCTTTTGGAATATTACTCCGTGAAAATTTAGTTAAGGAAAATCCTTGGGTTATACACTTCCACAAGTGAAATAACGTAATGATCGTCAACTTTGACATATGGCATGTTAATTCACTTTATTTCTGGGATTTTACATTGATTTATTCATGCACTAGATGAATTTTAAATTTCACTAGCCTCTATTTACATAACCAGTATAGTTCCAACAGTAATTACTCGTAGTATATACTTTTAGCAGTTACTAATTGGAATCTATTGTCATCAAGTTTGCGACTAAGTTTTAATCTGTAACGTTTTTTGACATATCACAAAATCAAAGGATCACTATTGGCCCTTATAAATGTGAGTTGTTTTCTATTTTAATTAATGCAGCTGTTTTTTTCTGTAGTATTTTAGCGTATGATTTCTAAAGACTAAAAATGTCTTGTTACGTGGCTATCAATTTGATGCTATTTCTACTGTAACTTTCATTGTTATTTTTCGTGTCATATCTCGAGCGTCGTAGAAATCGTTTAGTACCAAATCAAATATTCCTTAATTATCATCAAGCTTATGATACACTTGATGTTATATTATCCCAATCATCGAAGTTTGGTTTCGATTGGTATATTTTTGAAGTGGGTCAGCCAATCACCTTAAGTATTGGATTTGTTTTGTGAATACAGGTTAATTCGGTATTCGTGTTTGTCCTGTATATCGTTCTTAATTCTGATCGTTTGAGATGTAAGACAACCTTAAGGATTGACGTTAAACGAATTTGGTTGGAGTTTATTTTCATCGTTGGAGTTTTTATTGTCGGATGAATTGATTGGTTAAATTATCTGGTTAGATCAGTGGATGCCAAGAAACCGTTTTCCAATCGACAACAGATAACGAAGCATGTAAAGCATCAAAATATCCTGTTTAAATTATCATTTGCATAATTTCGAAAATATTCTAATCCTAGGTATAATATCTACCGCAGATACGCTGTTGTAGAGCGTATAGTACAGGCCCAACGGCGACCACAACAAAATCCGCAAGGTACACAAAGCAATTTAAACACTCCAGTAAGTATGCTGAGAATTTCATGTTGCACTATTACTATTGTTACTTTTAATATTGTTGATTCGGTAAACTGTCTACATCTTTATATTTTCGGGAGAATAAATTAAATCAGAAACATCTATATTCAAGATTGCAAAAAAAGCAGCCAGCGCTGTGAGGGACAAACAAGTGGCAACGATTCGTTCACTATAACCGAACACATCAACTGGAATAATTGGTAGCTTCTATTCAGTGGATAATACGTATTTAGGTGAAACGTGCAATAATCAAACAAACTATTGCAGAGAAGTATAATCAGATAACTTTAAGAAATGATGCTACTACTTGAATGTATGTCAAAGTCATTAGAAGTGAATCAGCTGTACAACAAAAGTTCACTGTTAAATTTAACAAAATGAATTGGACTTGACTTAACATACTTTCAATCAGAATGCCATAATTCTCATAGGGATTGTTCCAAATGTATAGTGAAGCACCACAGTATTTCACCCAAAAGCTAACGCCCAGATTACACAGATAAGATCGCAAAATATGACAAAGAACAAGAATATGGTGACCATCTTTGGTTCCGAGTAATATTGTGAGCCCTGAAAGCTCATTACGTTGGTTAATTTGACATATGTGTATCATCTTATAAGGCCATCGTTATCCATATAGTGTGATTAATGATGTATGTGTGTTAGGCACTCGAGCTACACCCTATTTTACCGTACTGCATTGGGTAACCCAATACATCAGTCCATTATAGCTTTGCCAGTAATTCACTGAATAACAGATGAGCTGATGTTGAAATATCTCACAATTTTTGTGCGTGACGCCTCAAAATATCATCCCGCTAACTTTCCAGCCATCTTGTAAGCGACTACAAATGTCCTACAAATCTACTTACACACAAGAAAAGTTCGGGAAAAAACCTATCAGCCCTCAGTTAAATGAGTCCTGTAACGATATTTCCCTAACATTATATTCGGGTAATTGGTGCTGAGGTCTAAAAAACGACCGCTTCCTAGATCTAATGTAGTCAGGCTTCGTTATTTTCATGGCAAATCCCGCTTGATTTTTGCAACGTTTTCACTAATTGGTCAGGAAGTGGATACGAAAACCAAGTACCATTTGTAACAGCTCTCCAGAGAACTTCTACGATACCAAACCCAAGGATTTGTTCTGTTGACCGAACAAAAATATTCACACTAGTTTCAACGAATTCTTAGTCGATTTGATTTTAAAAACCACATGGTAGTGTTTTTCCCAAATTCCACTATCTGATATAGATTTTTGTTTAGGTATTAGTGTATGTACGCGTCATAACTTCAATTCTTCAACACGATATTGTAAAACATATGTGATTTTTTATCAACAGGCAAGTGAACAATCGGAGAATCAGCAAAGCCAGCTTGCTCAGGAGTCTACGGATCAAGCAAACGGTAGCCTACGTGGTGAACAAGAATCGAGATTTACGAGGATAACTACAAATCTACGTTTGGCAGCAAATCTTTCTTATCAGTTCTTTTCAGCTCTGATTTCCTCAATTATTCCAGAACAACCACCACCACTACATCTAGACTAGAGTTCATTATCTTCGAACTTGATTACTGAACACGATATTTTATTTAGTATGTTATACAAGATATAATACTGACCCTATAACCTCACTCCTTATCTACTTTTTATTTTTAATTTAATCCGAAATTTGTCTTTTGTTTCACAAAGTGCCTTCATTTTTATGTTTGTACACACAACATTGGAAAGCGAAAACGTAGCAACTTGTTGAAGGTTCTATTCACAACAAAAATCTATTTAAAGTATTTTTTGAGTACAATGTTTTGCTAATATTAGTTAACCAGTAACCTATTTAGGTTTTTTGAACCATTGACTAATAATTAGTTACCAAAAATATCTGATATATCCAGTGATTTGAGGATGCATTTTTACTGGTAGCTAAATCAGGAGTACCTCTCCTAGAGGTAACTCCAGCTCCCCAAAACTGCACTCTCCGTAGGCAACATGATTCAGTTTTGTGAAAGCCACACCTTCAGTGCTAAAGTACGTATTCTAAATGCTTTTCTGCTGTTTAGAAAATGCCATATTTAGATTGACTTGCGTCAGGTACTAACGTATGACAGGAAGATACGTGTGGGTTGTGAGAAAGTAATGTCGTGTTTATTGTGTAAACGCTGAAGAAATATCAATAGAATTAGTAGTATGAGTACATCTATTTTCTACTAAAAACTACCCAACATATTTTAAACTGTTATGTTTTATAAGTAATATATACAAAATGAGAAATTATGGTTGGATAATTATTCTTTACACGCATGATGAAAATTGTCAGAAAAATGTGCGTATTCAACATTTCCGTCTGATTAATTTAATATTCATGAACGCTTCCGTAATGTTTTCCTGTAAGTATAACAGAAAATTTAGGTAAGATATCATTTCTACAGCACGGAGATATAAAATATAAGTGTCATAATGAAAACCAGATATTGAAGACAGAAAAACGAAGTTGTCTATAACAACAAAAACAAATCCAAATTACTGTATGAATGTGTGAAAAGTAATAAGACAAACATGATAGTTACGAAAATAAAACCAGTCAAGGTTCTTCCCACTAAAAAAACATGTAAAGAGAGCTTTATGAAAATTTGCCAGGCACTCGGAGTGGACCGACGTGCTCATCTATGCTTTTCCATGGGATGGTAGCTAGCATTGATATTTAGTTGCAACAGAAGCTGCAACCAATTTGCTGACGTCGATCCATTTGGAACGATGAATTTGTTAACGTATGAAACACAAGATAAGATTAGTGTAAACAAGGGCACGATCAGAATCCAGATAGGCACTCCAAAATGAGCGGCATCCTTGTACACAACCACGCCAGCGATAGTCGGTCGCGATGTGATCAACCTGAGTCCAGACTTGAGATGCAGAAGGAGAACTCCAAGTAGCACGTCGGCGATGACTGCCCCGGCAGTGAGTGTTAGCCAGAAACAGGTTGTAGTCTACTCAAAGTTGCAGTAGTTAGTCATCGTTCCTTCACCTGCGACCAACAAGCCCCCATCGACCACCTAAACGACTCGTTTCTGTGTCTAGACGCCCGACCTAAGCATTCAAGTCTCTGGCTAGTACTACAATATCTGTCAAACTCACTTTCTGTAAACGAACAGTTAACTGGTGATAAAACGCATCCTTGATAGAATCCGGGCTACAATCTGTCGGAGCATAAATGGAGATGACGAAAAGACATTGTTTCTTACACCGACGTCTTCGTAATTTGATGGAACTTTCTAATCTAACAGCATATAACGGACTGGTAACGAGGATTCAATCCATTAGTGCTACCTTAACTCTGGTGCTTGGTGAAATACCAGCGCCAAAAAAAACAGACAAAGATGCCACAGGGTCTCCGGATAAACGCACGTGAAACCAACTTTTCAAAGCGACAGATGGAGAGCGAATTTGTAGTGCTTCACTAGAGTCTTGAATACTTGTCTCGGATAGACAACAGACATCGATGCTGAGGCTTTCTAAGGAAATAGCCGACCCTACCTGTTGTCCTATCTGCACAGGTGTGCGAACGTTGAAGGAGGCCAGTTTGAAGGGTATACGTGGTCTCCTTATTCGTAGTCGGTGGTATCACTCAACTTTCGACCAGTCAGTGACTTGAGATCGTTTGGATAGGACAGGGTTTCCACCATAGGTGAGCTATTGTATAAGTTGAAAAATTAGAATACACAAAATGAGAATGGAGGGGAGTATATAGTTGACGTAGTATATATAAAGAACATAAAAATGAATGTTATCAAATCATTGTTAACGTGATTCTTCTGAACGCTAATTGAAGTACGAATAGTATTTCCAGTAGTAATCGTCATTTGATTTGCGTTTGTGCTGTGATCACACGCAGAGCCTTCGACCTGAAAGTCTAATACACAACACAGTGGAACAATGTTAGGAGATGCAGTCTCAGTCGGTGACCAACAATGGGTTCATACGCTATTTGTTTTCTTCGGATTCTGGAGCCCATATTCACCATGGTTTTGGAATTAATATTTTTAGTGGCCCGTGGTTCTCAGCCATCTTCCATACGTGTCATTTTGCTTTGCTATGTTTCATTCTCTTCATGTACGAAATATATGTATTCTCAAGTCAATTCTCGTTATTCGACTTATTTAATTCCGTTATTGGATAACGCGATTTAAGTGGCTTTAAGGTTATTTCCCCCAGACAACCTAATGATTTGACTCCCGATGACTCTAGCTACCCAAATTCGTGTATCAATACAATAAGTAATACAACGCAAAATAATCCTCAACCGAACTTGTACCGTGCTATCAACTATCGAGAAGACAAAAGAATGTCGAAAGTTTATTACTTCTCTAACCGTCGTTAATACAGAAAAAGAGTCCAGGTATTTTGTTTCCTTGAGATTTGGGCAAATAGGTAGCAGGTCACGTAAGTCCTGATTCAATATCGTGCACGTGGTTTAAATGCTCAAGATAGGGATAATTAAACAGTCTATTTCTGGATGATTTCATTAAAATGTTTGGGAAATATAGGATTTTCCAACAGAGTTAATTTCTATTGCAGGTTGAACGATTTACTTAAGGGATCAAAAAGACGAAAAAAAAGAAGTTGATGGACTAGATGCCATGAGACAACATAGATTGCAATGGTACCCTTATATCCAAAATGAAATATTCTCTTGACCCAATAATCCCCAATGTGAAGGTATGGGAGGAAAAAACTAGAAAAAAGATTGATTTGTCTGGTACCTGATTAATGTCATTTTTAATAAAAATTTCATGGACTAAAAAATTATAAATGGAAATTACTTTTTCATTACTTGTGCCTCCAGGCGCCCACGGACACCTACCTCCTTCTTTGATATATTAGTAAGACCAGGATAATGTCTTCTAGCTTTTTTCTTAATTTCTTCATCTAGTTCTGAGTAAAAATGACCGGAAAACTAAACCATATACATGAATAATTTCATTGACAACTGAGGAGTTATAATAACAATAAAAGTATCCACCAATGCTTTAAACTCTATAATGACTCTAGAGACAAAAAAATGCAGCTAGAGATAATTATCTTTAACAATAACAAAAATACGATAAGCGTCCTTATTAATTGTGATATGATATGAAATTGAACGCAAAAAAGACAATAATCTCAATGGTATGGAAACAATGTTGTTCAAGTCGGTTCTTATTTGTTTAATAAACCCCTCAGCTGATTGGAAGTTTATTTGTACAAACTAAGTGCCGTTAAAAATTATGATCTATTTTAGTCAGTTGCAATTGTAATGATACGTCGTTCAAGGTAAGATATCCGTCTACCAACCGAAGGACGTGTTTACTGCGCAGCAGTTTGTTCTGTCCTACTTTATGGAAGTGAAGCATGGCCGGTAAGAGTAGAGGATATTCGTAGGTTACTAGTATTCGATCATAGGTGTCTTCCAAACAGTGCTCGTATATCATAGGTAGTGGCGGCCAGACCAAAACATGGCACAAGTCTATGAAGTCACTGACAAGTGGACTGATCCACGTTGGTAGGTGTAGACTACCTGGTTGGGGACCGCGAGATGATAGCAACCGATGGTTAGAGACCTTGAACGACATGGCTCAAAGTTGTTTGCAATGGCACAGGTGCATCTACCTTTTGTGTTCTCGCAAATTCTAATCTGAATTCTTCATGTCCCTTTTTTCCTCTTCACAAATTTATTTCACTGGATTATACTCCTTGAATAACATCTTCAAACCCTAATCTTTCCGATTACTGGTTATACTTTTACTACCTCTACCACTATGAGATTTGAATCGACATCTGCATCTCTGTGCTAATGTGGTGTAGCAACTTTAACTGATGTACGTACGTACGAAGTTCTACGTTGTTACTGACTGACTGACGTGACGGACCAATAGAAGACGGTTCAGTACAGCTTTCTTTCATACCACAATACTACATTGTGCACTGACCACCTCCGCTTTTTCCGACCGGTCCCATCATCGGCAAATAATGCACGACGTAGAATTCGCTGTTGCGATATTCGTAGTACATGTCCGAGCCATCACTGTCGGTGTTTCAAGTTGGTGATACCGGGTGAATTATCGTCACTGTACCCGCATACACACGATGCCGAACCTCCTCATTACTCACATGGCGGTATAACTGGATGTTAGCAACCTTCCGGAGACAACAATACTGATGAGTTGTCTAAGATTCTCAACAGATGCGTTGTAGATTCGATCTTTTACAGCCAGGCTAACATCACGAAGGTGCCAAAGATAGCGCAGATTGGCATAAACCGCTCTGGCTTTTACTATACATGAATTGATCTCATCACTCATGCCACCACCATGCAGCTACCCAGATACACGAACTTCTCGACTACTTCTATCTGCTCACTATCCAGGGTGAGTGCAGGATCAGCGGCCTACCAGTCCTGTAAAAGTACTTTACATTTCGAAGGTGCAAAGCATATGCCATACCAACGGACACTAATTGCCAACTGATTAGATGCGGATTGCATGGCTTGGGTATTATCGCACAGTAAGACAATAT